AATAATTCGCCAACTACCAAAGATACCCACACCCACATCCTAACCCAGAACCTGTGTGCATGTGAGATTACGTGTCAAAGGGGAATGAATGTTGCAGATAAAATTAAGGTTGCCAGTCAGCGCACTTGTGACAGGGATATTCTCCTGGATTGTCCAGGTAGGCGCAATGTAGTCTCAGCGTCCCTGTAAGTAGAAGGGGGAGGCAGAATGAATGAACCAGAGAGTTGGCAGTGTGAGAAGGACTTGGCCTGACGTTACCAGGTTTGAAGATGGGGGAAGGGGCCATGGGCCTAGGCGTCCAGATGTTGGAAAAGGCAAGGAAACAGACTCTTCCCTAGAGCCTCTAGAACAAACACCAAGCCTGCCAACACCCTGATTTTAGTCTAGTGAGACGCATCTCAGACTTGTTTGTTTGTTTGTTTGTTTGTTTGTTTGTTTGAGACAGAGTTTTGCTCTTGTTGCCCAGGCTGGAGTGCAGTGGTGCCATCCTGGCTCACTGCAACCTCTGCCTCCCGGGTTCAAGCGATTCTCCTGCCTCAGCTTTTCCGGTAACTGGGACTACAGGTACACACCATCACGCTAGGCCAATTTATTTTTATTTTTAGTAGAGACGGGGTTTCACCATGTAGGCCAGACCGGTCTTGAACTCCTGACCTCAGGTGATCCGCCCGCCTCAGCCTCCCCAGGTACCGGGATTACAGGCGTGAGCCACCACACCCAGCCCACATCTCAGACTTCTGACTTCTGGAACTGTAAGATCATAAATCTGTATTGTTTGAAGCCACTAAATTTGTCACATTTTTTTACGGCAGCAGAAGGAAAGGAATACAAGCTACAAAAGGAAGTCGTGGTTTTTAATTTCTTCTTATGCTTTTCAGTGTAACCGTTTCCATTCTGGGGCTTGAAGGTAGCCCCGAGCATGACTGGTATCCTGTTTGCTCCCACACGGTAGGGTGGTGGGGGATGGGGTTAGGACACATGGTCGCCTCTGGCCCTGGCCTCGTGGGCTTGTAGAAATTCATGTCTTCCCTTTCCCTCTAAGCCACATTCAGCTAATTTGTGTGCTTTGGCAGAGACAGTGTTTCGCCATGTTGGTCAGGATGGTCTCAGTGTCCTGACCTCGTGATCCACCCCCCTCGGCCCGCAAAGTGCTGGGGTAACAGGCGTGAGCCACCGCGCCTGCCCACTGTCTTCTTTTTCCAGTTCCTCGAGGTGTAACATTTCGTTGTTATTTGAAATCTTTCTGGTTTTTCGTCGTAAGCGATTATTGCCGCAAACTTCCCCTTAGAACTGTGTTTTTCCTGCATTTCACACGTGTTGGTATGTTGTGAATCCGTTTTCCTTTGTCTCAAGACGGTTTTTAATTTTCCTTTTAAGTTGTTCTTTGATCAATTGGTTGTTCGGGAACGTGTTGTTTCATTTGTTTGTATTTGTGAATTTTCTGAAATTCCTCCTCTTACTGATTCCCAAGTTCCTACCATAGTGGTCGGAAAAGATATTCGGTATGATTTCAATCTTCTGAAACGTGCTGACTTGTTTTGTGGCCTAACGTATAATCTATCCCGGAGCATGTTCAGTGTGCACTTGAGAAGAATGCGTCTTCTGCTGCTGTTCGGTGGAACATTCTGGACATGTCTGTTAGGTCCGTTTGCTTTATACCGTTCAAACCCACACTGTCCTCATCGATTATCCCTCTGAATTTCCATTGCTGACAACGGAGTAGTGAAGGCTCCTACTACTGTTGTATTGCAGTCTATTTCTCCCTTCAGATCTACGATGATTTGCTTTACATATTCAGGTGCTCTAACGTTGGGTGGATATGTGTTTATAATTATTACAGCATCTGGATGCATTGACCCCTTTGGCATCATGTAATGGCCTTCTTTGTCTCATTTTGTAGTTTTTGACTTAAAGTCTACTTTGTCTTGTACCAATATGGCCACCCCTGCTCTCCTTTGCTTTCCATTTGCATGAAATGTGTTTCTCCATCCCTTCGCTTTTAGTCTATGTGTGTTCTAAAGGTGCAGTGGGTCTCTCACAGGCATCGTAGAGTCAGCTCTTGGTTTTTCAGTTTTTTTAATTTTTATTTTATTATCCATTCAGCTTTGCTATGTCTTTGACTAGAGAATGTAATTAATTTACATTCAAGGTAATTATTGATACACAAGGACTTACCGGTGCCGCGTTGCTCATTGTTTTTGGTTGTTTTGTGTATTCCTTCTTCCTGTCTTCTTTTGCTGTCTGCCTTCGTGATCAAGTGGTTTTCCATAGCGATCTGCCTGGATTCTTCACTTTACATCTGTTATGTATCTGCTACAGATTTCTGTTTCATGATTATCATGAGGCTTACATGAAATGTCTTATGGTTATAACAGGCTATTCTGAGCTGATGATAAGTTAACTATGACTACACACAAAAACTACAATTACGCTCCTGCCTCCCCTTCTATTTATGTTTTTGATGTCACTACTTACATCTTTTTTATATTCCATATCCCTTAACACATTTTGTAGCTATACTTTTACAAATAGTTTTGTCTTTCAACCTTCATACTAAAGATAAAAGTGATTTACACACCACCATTACAATAGGAGTATTTTGGTTTTGAACGTGTTCTTATTTTACCCACGAGTGTTCTACTTTCTTTTTTTCTTATTGCTGATTAACATCCTTCTTCTTGGCCAAGTGCGATGGCTCAAGCCTGTAGTCCCAGCACTTGGGAGGCTGAGGCAGGCTGATCACTTGAGCTCAGGAATTCCAAACCAGCCTGGGCAACATGGTGAAACTCTGTCTCGACGCAAAATTCAAACAAACAACAACAACAACAAAATTAGCTGGGCATGGCGGTGCGTGCCTGCAGTCCCAGCTTCTTGGGAGGCTGATGTAGGAGGTTTCCTCCAGCCTGGGAAGTTGAGGTTGCAGTGAGCCACGATCACACCACTGCACTCCAGCCCAGGTGACAGAGCGTGACCCTGCCTCAAAACAAAGAAACAAACAAAAAACAAAACCCAAAAAAACACACGAACTCAAAAACCAGATCCTTTTCTCTCGGCTTGAAGAATTCCCTCTGGCATTTCTGGTAATGCAGTGAGCTACTTCAGGAAGATTATTTTTAATTCCTTCTTACAAAGTTTCTAAATCTCTGCTTCTTTAGGGTCGATCAGTGGAACTTTACTTTGTTCTATGGTAGTGCCATGATTCCCTGATTGAGTGTGAGCTTTGTGGGTGTGCACTGGTGTCTGTGCATTTACAGAAGTAGGGACCTATTCCAGTGTTTGATGAGTGGCTGTGGCTGGGAAAACCCTTCACCGGTCAGTCCATCCAGAGATTCTGGGAAGACCATCTGGCATGGTCCATGGATGGGTTGCTGCTGGATTTCTCAGGAGAGCCGGCTTGGTGAGCAGGCAGGGTGAACCTGGCACCTGGGTTCATGGATTTGGGCCTGAGTCCTGGGGCCAGGCAGACCAACCTGAAACCTGGGTGCACAGACCAGAAACCGAGGTCTCTAGGCCAGGCCAGAGCTGAGGTCTGCCGGGAAAGGCCTAGACCCTGGGTCTATTGTGGTAGGCTTGGACCCTGGGTCTGCAGTGCATGCGGACACAGGGGTCAGCCGGGAGTCTGGGGCCACAAGGGCTGGTGTGCCCTTGTGGATGCAGTGCATGCATCTGTGGGGCCAGCCTGGAGGCTGGGCCTGCCGGTGCCAGCTAGGAGCCTGAGGCCATGTGTACCAACCTCGTACTGAGGTAGACATGGAGGTCGGGTCCATGGGTGCTGGCCTGCAGCCTGGGGCTATATGGGGCCAGTTTTGCACTGGGGAGGACTTGAAGCCTGAGGCCTCAGATGTGTGGCTCAGATGTGCCCTTTGCCTGTTTGGAGGCTGGGGTGGGCCTGGGAGCCTGAGTCTGAGAGAGCCAGCCAGGAGACTCAGGCCAAGAGCACTAGACTGGCACTGGGCAAACCTGGGGCCTTTAATCCTTGGGGGCTGGCCCGGAAGCTGGCTTTGCAGGTGCTGGCCTGGTGCTTGAGGTCACAGGGGTCAGCCTGGAGCTGGAGTAGGTACAGAGGCTAGGTCTATGGGTGCCAGCCTGAAGTCTGAAACTACAGAAGCCAGCCTACCACCGAAGCAGACGAGGTCCAGGGTCAGTAGGGGTTGTCCTGACACTGAGGAGGATCTGGAAGCCGGGTCCACGAGTCCAAGCCTGAAGTCTGGGACTGTGGAGACTGGTCTGCAGGTGATGTCTGCATGTGCCAGCCTGGGGTCTGGAGCTCTGGAGGCTGGCCTGGAGTCTGAGGCCGCAGGGCCACCCTGGGTCCATGCACAGGCCTGGCGGCTCAGTCCATGGGCGCCAGCCCAGAGCCTGGGGCTGTGAAGCTAGCCTTGCCCCCACACAGGCCTGGAGGCTTGGTTCATGGGTGCGCCCAGAGTCTAGGGCTGAGGGAGCGGCGTGGCCACGGGGCCTCTCTGGAGCCTGAGACAACCAGGGCCTGCCTGGTGATGAGGTGGGCCTGGAGCCTGAGTCTCTGCGGGTTGGACCGGCACTGGGGTGGAGCCGGAGACAATGTATAGGGGTGACCTGGAGGCTGGGACTGCAAGGGCCAGCCTGGTGCCTGAATCTGTGGGAGTCAGCCTATGCTAAATTGATTTTCCAGAGCATGCCAAGGCCGTTCACGGGGGAAATAATTTTTTCTTGAAGAAATTGTGCTAAGCTAAGTGGTTATCCACATGCCAAAGAATGAAGTTGAATCCACACCTCATACCATATACAAAAATTAACTCAAAGTGAATTCAAAACATAAATTTAAGAGTTAAAATTGTAAAACTTGCAGAACGAAACATAGGAGTAAATCATGACTTTGTATTTGGTATTGGATTCTTGGAAGATGACAGCAAATGGAACTTCATTGCTCAGAGATACGGCTCTCATTGGAAAGTAGGTGCCTGGCCAGAGGCGGCAGGACAGGAAGAAAGAGGTGGGTGGAGAGCCCCAAGACAGGAACCAAGAACAACCACCCAGTCGAACCACCGGCGTCAGGGCAATCCAAGAGTCTGCCTCCCGATTGGGTAAAGCCCAGAGGCCTCGCCCAACAAGGGGCGCGCTGGTTGGCGGTGGACGGACCAATGAGAAGGCGAGGAACAATGACGGGGCCCGGGAATGGAGGGGGCCTGGAAGCCACGCGATGTCAGGAACATCTCGTGAGCAGCCTGTGGTGAGGGCGGAGCTGTAGGGAAGGCCTCGCCGTTCCCGTGGCCTGGCCCGCTCAGCTGGGCTTGGCTGGGGTCAGCTCTCCCCTCCCACCGTTACCAGGACGATCATCTCCCCACAGCCCAGGCTGACAGGACTGGCGCCATGAGCTCCCCCGATGAGGCGTCCGTTTTGGGGGCCGATTTGGGCCCAGAGGGTGGCGAGCAGGCCGGCGCCCACACCGAAAGCTCCAGAGCCCCATGGGGCCGGGGCCGGGGCCATGGCCACGGCCGTGGCCTTGATTTGGGGGCACAGTGCAGTGGTGAGGGGCAGGGCGAGAGCCGGTTCGCAGATCCCGAGGGCTTCAGCTTCGAGTCTGAGAGTGAAATGATAAAGCAGCGAAGGGTGGTGCTCTGGGGACAGGAAGGCCGGCCTGGCACCCCGGTTGACGACTGGGGGGTCGGTCCCAGTGGGAGAGGCGCTCCGGGCCCCAGCCCGGGAGAATGCCAGCAGGCCTCCGCCGGCCCTCTCCGCCTCAGTGGTCCTGGGCCAGGCCCGGCCTGGGAGAACCCGGAAAGGGGCTCGAAGAGCAGCAGTGTGAGCGTCCCAGTGGATCCCCAGCAGCCCTCTGCGGAAGGCCCCGCCGCGCTGTCTGAGGACGAGGACGCTGATTCCACAGATGAGAGCAGCCACTTACCGGTGATTAGGGTAATCGTTCGCACCAAAGAAGGAAGCCAGGTCAAGCCCGGAAGCCCCAAGAAGCCAGCAGACACTTGCAGACGCCTGAGTTTCCACCGCAAGGAGAGTAACCTTCACGATCAGGGCCCTCTCCTGACCTCTGCTCCCCACAGACTCACTCCAGCCGTGGGGAGGCGCGCCGTGGGAGAGCTGGAAGCGTCTTCCTCGAAGAAAATGCGGAGCATGGTCTGGGGAAAGGTGGGGGTCGGGCCCAGCTGCTCAGGAGCTGCCTTTACAGGGCCGGTACCCCGGGGCTCTCCAGGAAGGAAGGTGGCCCAGGAGAAGAAATCCCTAGGGGGTGAGCCAAAACTGGCCCCGGAGGGACGCTTTCCTGCTTGGAGGCAGCGACTCTCAACAATTCCGCAGGATCCGGCCAGCTTCCCGCTGGTCTCTGGTGTGGGTCTCCTGGGGCAGTCTGGGAGACCCAAGGAGCTCAAGCACTGCAGCCCTGGGAAGAAATCTGAGGGAAGAAAGACCAGGGAGTCCCAGGCAGCAGCCAGAGAAGATAATGACCCAAATAGAGATGAGGTCCCAAGGGCCCAAGTGAGTAGGTTCTCTTTGCTGCACTCCTCCTTCTCCTCCTTGTTCTCCTCCTCCGTCTCCCCGTGGCCCAGCTCTCTTCCAGCACACACCTCTTTACCCATGCCCCCCCTCTATCCCTTGCTCGAAGGTTGTCATCGGGAGCCCAGGGACACTAGGAGGCCCGATCGGGGTCCTCCTCGTAGGGGCACACATTAAAGGGAGCACTCGGTGTGTGCCAGGCCCGGCTCTGGACACTGCAGTTGTCCTGCCTCCTCCCCCAGGAGGAGCTGGGATGGAAGGCTCCTACCCCAGAGAGAAGCTGGTTTGGATTGGGGGACCCCTGAAAGTGTGGGCCGCAAAGCTTGGGTGTCTAGACTCATCCTCTTCCCAATTCCTCCTTCCCTAGCTGTTACGCAAGCCCTCCTGTCTTGGGGCTGACTGAGGGAGAAAGTGCTAATGAGATTAGTCTGGAGTCCCCACCTTAACACAACCCCTCCTCACGTGTACTTACCGCCAGCCCCACTCAGAAATTGCTGTTTCAGCTTCCCACACACAAGCCAGAGGTGATTTCCCCGTCTGTGCGTCGTGGGGAATGCAGCAGTGGGGACCTCGCCATCAGAGCTCCCCAAGTTCCAGGAACCTCACAGCCCTCGGCCTTGAGCGTGAGACGTGTCGTGCTCAGACCCCGTGAGTCTTGTGGGTTTGACAGGGGTGCAGGGGAGAGGGCTTAGGGAGGGAAGCCTCTAGCTCTGTCTCTTCTGGAAGCTCGGCCTTGCTCCCAGGCTTCCCTGCCCAGCCAGGCAGCTGTCCCAAGGGAAATGGGGTGTCTACTGGGCTGGCCTGAAGCCACATGGTCCTCTCTGAGTGGGATTTGTGCGGTGGGGGGCGATTTGGAGCAGCACCCCAGACTCCAACTCTGGAAGGAGACTTTCAGCGGCACTGAGCCCTTTTCTGTTAAGTCCTGCTCAGCCACACTGCCCCTCCCAGGGCCTGGCTGTGGCGGCCCCGCTGCTGGCATCCTACCAGGAGCCACAATGCTAGGGGGCCACAGGTGCGCACGGGTTCACTGGGGAACAGGGAAGACAGTCCCACAGGGAGGGTGACGGTTGGAGCTGCTGGGCAACGTGTTGCCAGCACAAGGTGATGCTGCCTCACCTTAGACCCTTCTAGGCCCTTTCCACCTCACTGGGAGGCTTGGAAGCTGGATTTTGTGTTCTCCTTCAGGTGACCATCGGCAGCCTGTCCATCCCCCAAGACCGGAAAGGCAGCAGCCGCCCCCGGGAGCCCAGGGCTGTCTTCGGGTAATGCTTTGTGTGGCTCCCAGAAATCCAGGTCCACACTAGATGGTGGCATCCGTGTCCAGGTTAAATTGGTTTCGGTGTCTTCCCCCACACCCTTCTCCTTCCATACCCCACGGAGAGTAGGTGCCTCCTTTCCATCGAGGGTTCTGTGCCAATCCACCTCACCACCGGGCTGCAGGCCATGGGTGCTATAAGGGCTGGGGGAGAGAGGGAGGACAGGGAGAGAGGGGGCCAGAATTGACTAACCATTTTGCTTCCTCCCGTGTCTGGCGGCCTAGTGTGTCTGGCTGCAGAGGGAAGTCGAGGACCTTAGAAACCAACTAGGTATGTCGGAGCCCTGGCTGGGACAGGGGTGGGCAGCGCTGTCTTTCTGCAGGTGCCGAGGGTGGGGGTGGGGTGCAGGTGCAGGCGGCATCACCGGGACTGACTTTCCTCTGGGGAAGAGAACCAAGCAGGCCTGGCCCTGGAGCCTTCTGTGCCTTTCCAGCTGGGGGTGTGCACAGACAGCAATGTGTCGTCTGAACTCCGTGTACACTTTGTCCACCAGTCCCAGAGATCTCCTTCTCTTGGGGCCATTAGAGATACCGCATGTGTTTTCCCTTTAACCGCTGCCTCCCTTTAACGGCGCGTGCGGTTTTTGCTTGGTGGCTGGCGTATCTGTCTCGGAAACACATTCTGAACGGTTCTGGGATGCCCCAACACCTGAGAACCACCTTCCCGCTTAGAAGGTCATTTCCACCCTTACTTGAGGTTGACCGGTGGGTGAGTCAGTCCCAGGGCCACTGGGGTTTCAGGTCGCAGGGCTAGGCGGTTCCCCAAGTGGGCAGGGGGTGGGTTTCTCTTTCCCTGGGCCTGGAGAACCCAGTTCTGCCTCTCTGTTTCAGTGGCCATGCAGTACCTCCTTGACAAGTCCCAGCACTTTTGAAGTGAGTGTTGGACACGCCATTCCCCTTCCCACAATTCCGGTAGCTTAAGAGGGCTGTGGGCTGGCCCTGGCTGGGGGCCTGTCCCTGAACCTGCTCTGTTTCACAGGATGGAGCCAGCGTCTTCCTGCAAGATGTGCAGTTGGTACCTCTGGAGCCCCTGAGCTGCAGCCGAGCTGGTTCCCTCCGAATCCTCTTCAGCCAAGGCTTCCTCTCTTCCTCTGCGTTTGCCCTCTTCCCGCCGCAGTTCAAAGCAGTTTCAAATAAAGTCATTCTCATATTCTGTGGTCTGTGGTCTACCCTCTCTGCGATTGTTGGGAGGGCTGGCGGGTGGCGGGGGGGGGAGTGTTGCTCCATTCCCTGGCGCTGGAAAAACAGTTTCCCTGGAGCTCTGCGGTGGGCCCTCTCCCTGCGGCGTGCCTGGGCCGGCCTCTGAGCAGCAGCCCTCCAGTCACCATAGTGCTCTGGGTCCAGGTGCTGCGGGAGCCCTGCCCGGCCACAGCAGCATTTCCTGCCTTTCCCCTACACGCCTTGCTTGTGGTCCCTCCTCTTCTCCTCCTGCTTTGGGGTCTCACGGGTCCCCTTCTTCAGCACTCTTCTCCCTCGCCTTCACAGGCACTGAAGCCCTCCTTCCAGAACCCCGGTGTCTCCTGCCTTTCCTCCTGCGGTTCACTCTGTCCTGGTTCTGCCCTGTCACTGTCCTTTCCGTCATGAGCATCCTTGCTCTCCCCAGTGGGTTGACGCCGGTGGCCTTCCCTGCAGGGTTATTTCCGTGCTGTCGAGGAACACGACAGAGCCCATCCTCCCCTTCAGGGGCCCAGTCCTCTTCCTGGAGCCATTATGTCCCTCCGGTGCCACCGCGCACACAGGTCATCTGGGCCAGAAACCCGCGTGGCATCCTCAGTTCCTCTCTCGACCGTCACCTTTGAACCTCAGTTACCAAATCCCGTCAGGTCTCCTCCTCAGTTTCAGTAGCCAGGTGGAGGCAGAAGCCACATCCCGGTGGGTGACCAAGCAAAAGGGAAGGCACGGGGAGCGCGGAAGAAAAGGGAGGGGTAGTCTCTTGGTTGGAGGTGGGGGCAATGGTCTATTCTGGAGCCTGCGGGCCAACCTGGTGGAAACTGCCTGCCAGCAGCTACACGAGAGGTGGCTTCCACATCCTTGGTGTCCTATAGGCGGCCAACAGCCCCTTCTGCAGCCGGCCGACTCCATACCCTTGATTTGAAAATGGCCACCTGCTTTCCAGGGCAGGTGCGTATACCAGGCATGACTGTTCTTCCATAGCCACCATCAAATACCGTTCCACCACCCCCAAGGCCCCAGGTTTTTGTGGACATGATATTTCCGTGTCTCTGCTCAGTCTTCCAGGCTGCCTCTAGAGGTCACACGAGATTCCCTTGAGCTCCCTATTCTGCCTTCAGCCTCCCTGACAGTTGGGATGGATGGCCTCCTTCCTTCAGCCGGAATTCCGGGCTGGGTGGGCGTGAGGCATGGACACAGATTCCGCTTCCAGTGAGGAGGTGTGTGTAGATTCTGCCAGCTCCCCAAACCAAGAGATTGGGTATTGGACAGACAAAGACAGGAGAAATGCAGACACCATTCAAGGTTATTGTGTGTGGGGAGAGAGGTCTGTGGTGTTTTATTTCGTTTTGTTTTGTTTTGTTTTGTTTTGCTTTGTGAGACAGAGTCTCACTCTGTTGCCGAGGCTGGAGCGCAATGCCATGATTTCAGCTCACTTGCAACCTCTGCCTCCCGCGTTCAAGCGGTTCTCCTGTCTCAGCCTCCCGAGTGCACCACCACTCCCGGCTAATTTTTGTGTTTTTAGTAAAGATGGTGTTTCACCATGTTGACCGGGTCTCAAACCCTGACCTCAGGACGTCCCCTGGCCTTGACCTCCCTAAGTGCTAGGATGACAGGCCTGAGCTACTGCACCCAGCCAAGTCATGGTTTCTACATGGAAGGAGTGATACTGAGGTGAAAGGTCAGCTTCCCCACCATCTCGGGGTCCCTGGCAGGACACCTGTTCCTGACTCAACCCACAGGAAGCATCGTGAGTGCCTGAGGGGAGAAACGTCCCTGAGGGCAGCCAGAGACAAAACCGGGAGGCAGAAGTATCGTCCTCAGCCCTGGAACCTCTGCTCTGTAACTCAGCCAAAGGAGATGCCAAATGAGAGCTGCTGTTCAGCAGCACCACACTGTAGGTGGTATGTTCCACGGGGCCCCCTGGGCACGGACCCTCAGCCAGCTAGCTCTTCCACACTGCCGAGATAACACCTCCCACATTCTGGATGGCCAGCACTCTGATCATTCGCTTAGACGACACAAACTTGGGCTTAAGGCGCCATCTAATGCTGTAAAGGAGGCAATCGTCTAGCAGAAAATAAATAAGACATTCAACAGGTAAATTACGCAGAATCTCTAAGCAAATATAAAATTCCAAACAAGCCAGAGTAGACTGGAATAAATAACAAATCCTTTAGGTACTTTATTTTATTTGTAGCTGTTGTGAATGAGATTACTTTTTGATTTCTTTTTCAGAGTGTTCACTGTCAGCATATAGAAATGCTACTGATTTTTGTGTGTTTATTTTGTATCCTGCAACTTACCTGAATTTGTTCATCAGTTCAAATAGTTTACTGTCGGAATCCTTAGGTTTTTGCAAATACAAGATCATGTCATCTGCAAACAAGTCGAAGGATAATTACCAGAGGCTGGAAAGGATAGTGAGGGGTGAAGGAGAGCTGTGGGTCTGTATGTTCCTTCTATACCCAGTTTTGTGAGGGCTTTCACCATGAAGGAATTTTGAATTTTATCAAATGCTTTTTTCAACATCAATGGAAACGATCATGTGGTTGTTATCGTTCATTCTGTTGATACGGTGTAACACATTGATTGATTTGCATATGTCAAACCGTCCTTGGATCCCTGGTATAAATCCCACTTGGTCTTGATGATGACTGAACGCCTTTCCTCTAAGATTTGGAACACAACGAGACGCCCACGTTCACCACTTTTTTTCAACCTGGTGCAGGAAGTCCTAGCTAGAGCAATCAGACAAGAGAAAGAAATAAAAGGCACCCAAATTAGAAAGAAAGAAGTCAAATTGTGAATGTATTGCTGAATTCGATTTGCTAGTATTTTGCTAAAGATTTTTGCATCAATATTCATTAGAGAAACCGGCCTGTAGCTTTCTTTTTTCTTCTTTTTCTTTTCTTCTATTTTTTTTTTTTTTTTTTTTTTTATGTGTCTTTGTCTGGTTTTTGGCATCAGGGCAATAGTGTCCTTGTAGAGTGAGTTTGGAAGTATTCCCTCCTCCAAATTCTGTTTCTCAGAATTGTTTGAGTAGGATTAGTATTAGTTCTTCTTGAAATTTCTGTTCCTTTCTGATGTAGATGCTTTTAGATATACTCTTCTCTCTTAGCACTGCTTTTGATGTATCCCATAGTATAGGTATGTTATATTTCCATCATCATTCATTTCAAGAAACTATTAAATTTCCTTCTTAATTTCTTCACTGACCCACCGGCCATTCGAGAGCATACTGTTTAATTTCCATGCATTTGTGTAGTTTCTAAAATGTCTGCAGTTATTCATCTCTAGTTTTATTCCACTGTGGTCAGAGAAGATGTCTGATATTATTTCAATTTTTTGAATATTTTAAGACTTGTAGCCTCGCATGGTCTGTCCTTAAGAGTGATCCATGTGCCGAGGAAAAGAATGTGTATTCTGCAGCTGTTGGATGAAATGTTCTCTAAATACGTGTTAGATCCTTTTGCTCAACAGTGCAGATTAAGTCTGATGTTTCTTTGTTGATGTTCTGTGTGGACGATCTCTCTAATGCTGAAAGTGGGATGTGGAAGTGTCCAGCTATTATCGTGTTGGGGTCTATCCCTCTCTTTAGCTCTAGTAATATTTGCTTTTTATATCTGGGTGCTCCAGTGTTGAGTGCATGTATATTTACAATTGTTGTATCTTCTTGCTCAGTTGACCTCCTTATCATGAGGCTTCCAGATACTATTTTATAACCCATTATTTTAAACTGATGACAATTAGCACTGATTGTATACACAAACAAATAAGCCAAAAAATAACTAATAAAAAAATCTACCCTTTAACTTCATTCACCCACTTTTTAACTTTTTATCATAATGACCTTCTTTATCTCTACTTATAGTCTTTGTCTTGAAATCTATTTTGTCTGACAGAAGTATAGCTACTGGTTCTCTTTTCCGGTTTCCATCAGCATGGAATATTTCTTTCCTTCCCCTTATTTTCAGTCCATGTTTGTCTTTATAGGCGATGTGTGTTTCTTACAGGAAACGGATCATTGGGGTTTAAAAAAATATTTATTCAGCTACTCTATGTTATTTGATTGGAGAGTTTAATTCGTTTACATTCAGTGTTACTATTGATGAATAAGGACTTGCTTCTGCCAGTTTATTTCCTTTCTAGTTGTTTTGCAGTCTTTGTTTCCTTTTCCTTTTTGTCTTCCTTTGAGAGGAGATGACTTTTTCTGGTGGTGCAATTTAATTTCTTGCTTTTTATTGTTTACATATCCATTTTCTGTTTTTCCACAGGTTACCATGAGGCTTCCAGATACTATTTTATAACCCAGTATTTTAAACTGATGACAACTTAGCACTGATTGTATACACAAACAAATAAGTCAAAAGAAAACTAATAAAAAAATCTACACTTTATCTTCATTCACCCACTTTTTAAAAAATTTATTTATTTTACTTTAGGTGCATACTATATCTGGCATTTCTCCCCATGTGATCCCTCCCCACACTCCCCTCCCTCCCCACCCCCTACTGTCTCTCCCCTACCCCCTCAACTGCCCCCAGTGTGTGATGTTCCTCTCCCTGAGTCCATGTGTCCTCCTTGTTCAACACCCACCTATGTTGAGAACATACAGTGTTTGGCTTTCTGTTCTCGTGTCAGGTTGCTGAGAATGATGGTTTCCAGATTCATCCAAGTCCCTACAAAGGACACGAGCTCATCGTTTTTTATGGCTGCGTAGTATTCCATGGTGTATATGTACCACGTTTTCTTTGTCCAGTCTATCATTGATGGGCATTTGGGTTGGTTCCAGGTCTTTGCTGTTGTACACAGGGCTGCAATGAATATACGTGTGCATGTGTCTTTATAGTAGAACGATTTATGGTTCTTTGGCGTTCACCCACTTTTTAGCTTTTTATCATTTTTCTTTGTGTCTCTTGGTACTGTCTATGTCTCAAAAAGTGGTCACAGTTATCATTTTTTTACA